CTCGTCACCCACTCGCGGTTTCTTCCCCGACACGTCCTGGGCGCCCTCAGACTTCCTCTTAAGCTTTCTGATCAAGGGAATCTCGTCCTCGCTACTTCGGTTTCTTGCAAAAAGTCAATAGGCGCCGAGGTTTCTTGGGGCATCGTGTCAATAGGCACCTGATCCTCCCAAACTTCTACGAAGTCAGTCCCAGCATTGGTCAGGGGGGTGCTTGGAACTTTGTCGGGCTTGACCCTCTTGGGGGATTTCCCTTTCCTGCTCGCACGCCCCTTTCCTTTCTCGGCCTCGGGCTCAGGCGCCTGTGATTCACCAGCAACTTTCTTAGCTGCCTTCGAAGTATTTCCCTTTGAGGATTGGGCGCCCTTTGCCCGACCTTTCCTCGAACTGGGCGCCACCTTGGCTGCCACCCCCATCTTCGCAAACTGGCTCTTCATCAGGGAGACCATGGAAGTGAAATCCGCACCTACACAAAAACACATACCAGCGTGTAAGTGTTAGTAAAGTTAAGTGTACAACACAGTGCACCCGGTAATAGCATGCCCTAAATGCACAAGTCTAATGTTCAAAAGAGACATAAGGCAATATTCAAAAGCTAAATAGGCGCCCACCATCGCGGTAGTACGCGTGTAGAACGGGCGTCCTAGCCGCCGTAGAACTTAAGTCCACAGGGTGCAGTGCTAGAAGACGGGCGCTCTCAATTTCCTCGTCCGTGGTCAAAGGCGCCTCAACATTAAACGCCTCTGCGTCGCCGACTGCCCAACCTCGGGTGAACGAATGACCACTCTCGTAGATGGTCTCTCTACGCGCCTTGATAAAGAAAAAGGCTCTGAACCATTCCCTTCCTAAATTTGGAGAATCGGTTAAGAAGTGCCCCGGAATGTCAATGCACCTTTGCAAAGATAAACAGTTGTCGCTATGCACCATGGTAAAGAAGTGGTGGAAAAGTTTAAAGGTGGGTACGATGTTATGTTGCCGACACTTCAACTTGAAAAGAATGTGAATAAGGAAAACAGAAGGGGATAGGAGCCAAGCGAGCATTGACACAATTCTAATATGCCTTCGAGGATCGAATCTAAAGGAAATCGTAAGCCGAAGCGGAAATATTCCCGGTAGATTCCAAGCCAACGGGGGCCGACCACCCCAATCCTTTCCATGCGCGGAAGTTGCAACGAGACGGCCAAGTTCTCCAACTCGAGCGCCTTGATGGTCGACACCTGCAATGGCCCAGCCTCTGCAACGGTCAAGGGGCGCTTCCCCTGCTGGCCACGTGTCTGCCCAATTATTAATTTTCACAGACTCATCCTCCGAGGCGCCTGAGTCAGTTGATATGGGGGACATCTCCAACTCGGACGATTGCGGAGATCCGGGCGCATGGCCTATAATGTTGACGCAAACGGGGCAGAGTCAATCCCACTATCCTAGATAGCTAGGGGCGCCTAAATAAAAGGGGGGGGGGGGCGGAACAGTTGAAATTGGCAAAACTCACTTGTGTTTGCCTTGTTGGGCGCTGCGGCGGTCGAAGTTCCCGTCTCGACGGCTGGCCCGCGAGAACTGCTGGGCGCCACCACGGAAAAGGAACCACCGTCCTTAGCGGGCACCTCTTTGCTGCCACGGGGCGTCCACCCACCCGATTCTTGATTGGGATCAGGGAAGAAGTGCTTCTCCAGCAACTTTATCACATTAGGCGCCGAGCCCTCATGCGGAGGCGCATCACCGAAAGAGGCGCCTGAGCTAGGTAGCTACGACATATTTGTGGTTTTGGGATTTTTAGGAAGGAGGCGCAGCGCACGTTTTTGGTAGAGAGAGAAGTTTAGAGAGAGAAAGATTTAAAGTGAATGAGCAAGGGAGGGGGCGGCCGACTGTATTTATAGGAAAGAGAACCCCAACGGTCAGATATAGGGATGCGCGCCATCAAGTCCCTTCATCCTCACCGTCCGTTCAAAATTCAAAATTCCAATTTTGATTTTCCAAAATTATTGAAAATTCAAAATTCGAAATTCCAATTTGGAAAGCGCACGGCGAGGGGGCAGGGATAGGCGCTTTGATTCAAGCGCTCATGCTGGGGGTGACAGGGGTATAAGCGCCTGGAATTGGTCGAGAAGGCGCCAGAACTTCGAGGTTGAGGATACGCTTGATTGGAACAGGAAGGGCAGTTTTGAGCGAGATACATGGGATGGACACTAAAAAGCACCTCGATTTTGGCAAAGAGGCGCATAAATATCGAGGTAAGTAATGCGCCTAAGTTAGGCGCCTCTATAACAAGGTGGGGTCGTTGCGAGTCCGGGCCGAATACGAAGAATGGTTGATTGAGGGCGTCCGAGTGTGGAGAGTGGTCAGGCGCCTACTGAGCCAAGAAGGACGGTAGCCTTAGTCGAAACAACCACTCAGGTGTTATATATAGTAAGACGCCCATTGTCAACCATGAGCGACTAACTGGGGGACAATTGTTGGGTGAGCATGAGTGGACCAGTGGGGGACATGGGCTCAAGAGACTTGGATGGGCCCAAGCCCAATTGAGAGCCTGGGTGAGGAACAAAGCAAGAGTGGGCCCAAACGCAGAGGAGCGGGCGCATAACGACAAAAAGGATGCGGGGACCACGCTGCTTCGGGACCAGGAGGCTGGGAGCGTGCCACCTGGAAGTGTGGTCCTGCCAGGCGCCTGGGCGCCAGGATCCGGGAGCTGCCACGTGTAATGACCGACCGTTGGGCCGTACCGGGCATTTAATGATCCGCTGACGTGGAGCTGAATTCCAGGAGCCTGGTCGGAACCTCGACGAGTATAAATAGTACTCGGTAGGTAGCATTTAAGCAGGTTGGCTTCTCTCACTAAAAACTTTCGGATTACTTATCTCTCTAAAAACACACTCTGACTTGGGCGTCGAAGTGCTAACAGGCAGTCCCAAGCCCACTAGGCGTTTGCCTGTGCAGGATCTGTGCGCCTGACGAGGTGAGCGCCCTAGTCAAAGACGAGAAGGCAGGTTCGGAGCTTTGTGGCATCGACATTTCTAAAATTTCAAAACAAGCAAGATTCTAAAGTTGTCGTTTGAATTTGCCTTTTGATATTCAAGTGTGACAGTGGAAAATCTGAAGGTAAGCTCCATAGGACTCTTTTAGTCACAAGGACAATCAGAAAATATATTGAATATTTATATTTGATGAACCCGGTATTCCCCAATCGAATGTGATTCTTCATGACTTTTTCACCACCAAAAATTCGCAAAAACGTCTCAATTTCCCTTAATATAATTGGTCTAGTCAAGGTTTTTGTATTTTTGCATAGAAAATATATGTAATATCAAGAACACGACATGGAATAGTATTTGGAAAAGTTTACTCTAGTTATGGAATGTTAGTAAGCTTGGTTACGTAGGACTTGAGATAATAAGTTCATTTATCGAAATGACTAAAAGGAAGAGTTCACATACAACTTTGTACTGATGTAAAGTTAATGTATCTTGGTTACTGAATTAAAAAAAAACTCAAGGGTCAAATCGATATATCTCCCTAAGAAAATTACAATACCATAATATTTCATAAATGTGTTTGCTATGGTCAAGAACTGGAAAAATAATTTTTATGATAAAAACTCTAGTGTTATGACATACTGTTCCAAAAATCCATGTAATACAATATTAATATGGACTATTCAATGAAAAAATATATTAATATTGATTATCTCAATATTATAACGTTAATGTGTATTGGTGACTGAATTACAAAAGCTCAAAGGTCAAATCGATATACCTCCCTAATAAAATTACAATGTCGTAATATTTCATAAATGTGTTTGCTATGGTCAAGAAATGGAACAAATAATTTTTCTGATAAAAACTCTTAATGTTATGACATAGTTTTTAAAAAATCTATGTAATACAATCTTAATATTGATTATTCAACGAAAAAATATTTAAATATTGATTATCTCAATATTATAACGTTAATGTATCTTGGTGACTGAATTAAAAAAGCTAAAGGTCAAATAGATATACCTCCCTAATATAATTACAATCCCATAATATTTCATAAATGTGTTTGCTATGGTCAAGAAATGGAACAAATAATTTTTCTGATAAAAACTCGTAGTGTTATGACTTAGTTTTCCAAAAATCCATGTAATACAATATTAATATTGATTATTCAATAAATAAATATATGAATATTGATTATCTCAATATTATAAAGTTAATGTGTATTGGTGACTGAATTAAAAAAAAGCTCAAGGGTCAAATCGATATACCTCAACAATAAAATTACAATGCCATAATATTTCATAAATGTGTTTGATATGGTCAAGAAATGGAACAAATAATTTTTCGGATAAAAACTCTTAGTGTTATGACATAGTTTTTCAAATATCTATGTAATACAATATTAATATTAATTGTCTCAAAATAAAACTATGAATTAATTTTGTAAAAGTTGAAGTATAACAATATAGAAAATCTTTCTTTCATAAATAAAATCAACGATAATTCCCCCAACCTAATTTTTTCATAACAAAACCAACAATAAATATACACAAAATGACCCTGTTCGCTGAAATAACCTGCAGTAGCCGGTAAAGAATGGGCGGTGCCCGTACTTGTCGAAATAGAAGAATTTCCCCATCATTAATCACGTCAATATTAGTATGATACCCGTGTTACTCGATTGGTTGATAACCATTTGACAAATTCTGGTACATCAACGGGACAAAAGATTAGAGACACAATCCCCGATTTAGCCGGTATTGGTTTTGTTTACCCATAAAAAAAAAAAATTATCGTCGGAAAACAGGTTTCAAGAAACAAAAGGCTCACATAATTTTGCGGGAGGGATTTGGGGCCCAAAAATAGCCAAACCAATTCCTACTTCATTTCAATTCCACCGGCTGAGAAATCAAACAGACCCATTCTCCCCTCTCTTATAACTCCTATCATCCTCTCCCCCCATCAATGCCACCACATTGCTATAAGCAAGCCTTGGGCAGTCCAAGGTTTTCAGATATGGCTCCGTTTATCATGAATTTCTTGGGCTGCCTTCTCTTCCTCCTCCTCATTGCCTCATTCTCCACCTTCTCCAATGCCCTGACGGACTCGGAGGTCGCCTACATCGCCCACCGTCAGCTCCTCACGTTCGAAGAGAGCGGGAAGGATCAGAGCAACAACAATGTGGACCCCAACCTCAAGTTCGAGAACTCGAGGATCAAGAACGCCTACACCGCCCTCCAGGCGTGGAAGAAGGGCATCTACTCCGACCCTTTCAACGTCACGGCCACCTGGGTGGGGCCCGATGTCTGCAAGTACACGGGCATATATTGTGCCCCGACGTTGGATGACCCCAAACTGAACGTCGTAGCGGGGATCGATCTCAACCACCAGGATATCGCGGGGTACCTGCCCCAGGAGCTCGGCCTGCTCACTGACCTCGCGCTGTTCCACCTGAACTCCAACAGGTTCTGTGGCATCATCCCGATGTCGTTCTGCAACATGTCCATCATGTTCGAGTTTGACGTAAGCAACAACCGCCTCGTGGGGCCCTTCCCGCGGGCCCTGCTGTGCTGGAAGGAGATCAAGTTCGTCGACATCCGGTTCAACAACTTCGAGGGATGTGTCCCGCCAGAGATCTTCGGCAGGCCGCTCGACGCCCTGTTCTTGAACAACAACCGCTTCTCCTGCTCGATCCCGCCGTCCCTCGGGAACTCCACCGTCAGCGTCGTCACCATGGCCTACAACAACTTCAGCGGCTGCATCCCTCACACCATCGGGATGATGCCCAACATCGAGGAGATCATGCTGGCCGGGAACAGCCTCGGCGGCTGCTTCCCCTCGGAGATCGGCAACTTGAGGAACGTGACGGTGCTTGACGTAAGCGGCAGCGGGTTCGTGGGGTCCATCCCACCCAGCTTTGCCGGGCTGAAGAGCGTCGAGATGCTGGACATTTCGTGCAACAGGATGACGGGTTCGGTCCCCGAGGAGATCTGCAAGCTGCCGGCGCTGAAGAACTTCACATTCGCTTCGAATTTCTTCAACGGAGCCGCCCCGGCTTGTAAATCGAGCAAGGACGTCGTGATCGACGACGGCAACAATTGCTTGGCGGGGCGGCCGCTACAGAAGCCGCCTAAGGATTGCGATCCCAAGGTGGTGAAGCCGGTGGATTGTAGCAAGGACGTTTGCAGCGCCGGTGGAGGACGAGCACCGCCCAAGACTGAAGATTCGCATATGCCGGCAAGCGGCGGAATGAGCCACCCTCCACCTCCGGCACCTGTTCATTCCCCTCCACCGCCGGTTCACTCTCCACCACCACCCGCGCCAGTTCACTCCCCGCCTCCGCCTGTCCAATCTCCGCCACCGCCTGCGCCGGTTCACTCCCCGCCTCCGCCTGTCCAATCTCCGCCACCGCCTGCGCCGGTTCACTCCCCGCCTCCGCCTGTACATTCTCCACCACCGCCTGCGCCGGTTCACTCCCCGCCACCGCCTGTCCATTCTCCCCCACCGCCTGCGCCAGTTTACTCCCCACCTCCGCCTGTCCATTCCCCGCCACCACCTCCGGTTCAATCTCCACCACCGCCAGTACACTCCCCACCTCCACCGGTAGTCCAAAAGCCACCACCCAAGCCAGAGCAACCAGACGTCGTCCTTCCGCCGAACCTGGGTTACCAGTACTCCTCTCCTCCACCGCCGTTGTTCCCAGGCTATTAATTTATTTATTTTTAATAGAACTAAAACATTACTACAGATTGTTCTGACAACATCATATGTAAAATTCCTTTCCTTCTAAAATTTGGAGATGGAATATGTTTCCCAAAATTGGCAATACAGTGGAGGAAAAGTTACCAATCGCGTTGTGTAAAATTGCTGCCATATTTATCTTTATCATTTGCCATCTTCTAAGCAATGGAAAGTGATCTAAGAGCTTATGAAACCCTCGTCAAAATTCAGGGCTTATATAACAATGGCAAGTATAGCACAATGTTAGGCTTGCAATATAGAGGGTGTGTCGTATTCCCTAGAGATCGTCGATACCCTAGTCTGCTCGTGTTAAATCATACTACTTTCTAATCAGTAATTGGTTATTTTTAATCGTATAGCGGCTTCCGGCGAGCGTTAGCTTCCAACAATGGAGCCACTTCACCCAGGGAGTAACACAATCCCAACGTGTTAGATTACTGCCTCATGCCATCATTTGCATCAATTGCATCAATTGGATTCTTGACAAGACTCTTCTTGAAAAGTTAATGCAGATGTACAGAAGACAAGGTAATGCACATAGTTGTGAACAATTGCATCAATTGGAGTCTTGTCAAACTCTTCTAGATCAACAAGAAGTACATACATTCAAACAAATTTTGCTGGGTAGAGCACACCAACGGCCCAACCGTTTTCATCCTCCCTGATCATTCATCTTCACTCCACAATGGCCACCCAATGCAGTTACCTCTTGGCAAAGGAAACTATAATTTTTATTGATTGTAGAGCACTAACTAGAATCTCAACCAAAGAATGGTAAGTAAATGTGATTAGTGTTTTCTATTGCATGTAAAACGATATTTTTTATACGAGGAAGCCTTGGAAAAGGCTGAAATGCTTGGTGGTTGAAAGCGATGAAGGTGAATATGGTCATCAGCTAGCAAGGCAACATGACGATATAAATGTTGTTCCATAGGAACGGTGACCTTAAAGTAAGGAAATGGGACTTCACCTGAGAAGCTCTCTCATAGCAGTCAGAGGTCATGATAAAACCAAAGGAGCAAAACAACAGCATAACAGCTTGTCTAACTTGTTATGTTTGACAGAATTCTCCCGTGTGACTTGACAAAAACCGACAACGAACAGAACAATGTCGGACTACTCCTTTTTGTGGTTCGAGTATCGAAGGCAAACGACTTCTTCCCCTTGGAGCAGCTTCTCCATGGCGTCCAGTGGAAGACCAACCAGTTCCAGTGTCTTTTCCCATAGTTTATGTGATTGCTCGGCCTTGTGCGCTTCTTCTGAAGGGTTCGCCGGTCGGCAGTCTTGGGAGATGAAAGCACAAGCCGGACGGTCCTCTGTTTTCAACACTTGACAGTACTCTGACATCTGGGGATCAGTAGCAGCGAAAAGTGCACTCCGGGCACCTGGATTTTGTGTCATGGGAACACCTTAAATGAGTTCATTACAGAATAACTTACAAACTCAACCTGCGTTTTAACTCATCCCTGCTATTCAATTATCTTCCTCCAAAGCCAAAGACGATAAAACATTATCAAAGACTGTCATTAAACACACCTTCTGCGGGAGTGAAGATGAAATAAGGTATCAGATTATATCCGGCCTGCATAATTATTGGAAGGTCCCTTGCCTACATCAAAATAAATGCTTCATGTACAGAGGTAATAGTATCAGGAAGCTGTACATTTGATTAAACAGGTCTGAATATCTAGCAATCACAAGGCCAGAGAGAGCAATTGTAAGAAAAAGTAATCCAAAATTCAAGAGACTTACAACATTTGTATGTACGATTCCGGGATCAACACACACTATGCTAATTCCAGCTTCACCAGGTAGGCGCTTGTGGAGAACATTGCTGAACATGACCTGCAAACAAATTTAAATCGTAATCAATACTTCATATCTAAAAGACATAAACTGACAACAAAAAGAAGAAAACACTTAAGAATTTCTGCGGGCTAATGACTCTAAATTTATGTGGAGATTATAGAGGATGATATCCAAGGGATCAAGTTTCAAAGCTTGATTCTCCAAAAAAACAAACACGGCCATCATTTTTCAATGTAAGCATGGTAAAGCTGTTTGAGAATCTAACACCGTTGAAAAGAGAGAGAATCTAACACAAGTACAACCTAACAGTAGGTAAAAACTAAGGTTGTTGAATATGAAAATGAAGGCTTCCCTTGACAGTTCAAACCGTCAAGAAAACAGATTAAGTCAAATGCATGTCCTAAAGGATCAAAAATAAGACCAAAAGCAAAGTTAGATTAAACTACTCAAATTAGACACCGCATCCAACTATGCCAAAATAGCATGGTCCATGAAACCGTACCGTACCGACGGTTCAATCACGAAATACCAGTATTGGAGGCTAAACCGGTAGGCGGTATTTAACGGTCTAACGGTTCAACTACGGTAAAACCACGGTTTTATCATAAAATATCATACCGCTGACTTTTCCGGTACGATATCCGATACGGTTTCATGGACCATGCAAAATAGATGATTTCATTCCAAATTCTTATTACCAATAGGGTGCATACTTGCAGATTTCAATTGAAAATTATAAAACATCCTTCCATAAAAAAATTTAGTTTGAACTAGAAATGGTAATAAACCTTAAAATCAGTCCTATTAGATAGCTGAGGACCATAATCTACTAGTCTCTTAAGCTTTAACTCGAAGAATTCGTCTTATTAACAAAATGAAGACAACTGCAATAACAAAAGCAATAATAGCAAAATGCATGAACGAGCCAAACCACCAAACTGAAAATAAATCTAAAGGAACCTGTGCTAACTTGCTACTAGTGTATCCCACCACACTTGTATATTTTCTCTTCCCAGATGTAACATTCAAGTCTTCTGTGTCAACGTAGCCAACATAATGCATCTGCATGGAAGGAAAATGTTGAAGCTACTTTCAGGCGTTTAATGGAAAGTGGCCATCAGTGAAAACGTGAATATGAAATTTATCACAACATTTTTCCCAAGTCGTGTTTAGAAGACAGGATATTCATAATGTTAACTCACTGTTCAAGACAAATCAAAAGAGAAGTTAGAAAATGAGGAAGAATTTAAACAAGAGCAGTAAAGCAAAGAATCAAAGCATACTGAAAAATTGTTCACTACAAACATTCTACTCCACAAACTTACAAAGCCAATTTAACAGAGAAGGTAGCCAAAAGACTCACCACTGAATTCACATTGACAATTCTACTAGGAGAGCCTCTAATTAGGGATGGCAAAAGTAGTATTGACAGTAATGCTGGAGCAAGATGATTCACTTGCATGTGCTGTTCGTACCCATCTCTTGAAAACCTTTGAGGTTCTGTGTACAACAAAGTCCATGTATTTTGACCCTCAAATGTTCTTAAACGTGAATAAAACGGCAGTGGTTTGTATAACAAGGACAGGAAATGAAGAAAGTACACATAGCTAAATGAAGAAAGTTTATACAGCAAAATCTATAAACAGAATTCAATTCATTCTCGACAAATTTCCACTTCTCTACAATTTCAAACATTTGATGGATCCTATTCAAAACTTGACAGGAACCTAACTCTCACTCCCACTAACTGTTTTCTATTTCCATAAGAGAGGTGTATAATTTCTTATTTTCATCTGTGGTTGCATACCTTCAAAAGGTGTCTCTACTATTCCAAATCTTCTTCCACCTTCTACTCAACACCCAAAGCTAAACTCACAAGAATTTCATTCACAAGCTACACCTTTCTTACCTAAGCATGTATCAAAATGAACTCAGGAAGATAATACATCAGAATCCATTAACAAAAGAGAGACGCGCCCTGATACATGTAACCAAACCATGAAACTGAGTCAACATTAGGTTCTACACAAAGTCAATTGGCACATAAAGAAACATCTCATTCTTCTGGCATGAGAATAGGGTTCTAAAACACTGAAGATAAAACTTGGTAGATAACATGGCTTTATCTATCATGGTTAACGAATGGCTTCTTGTCATTCATATAATTTCTTCTCCCTTCGCACATGGCTACTTCACTTACACACTGTTATCGTGGAAGATCGCTCATCTACATTTGCTGACCACTAAATATTGGAGTCGAGAAGCAGGTATAAAAGAGGGATCCAAGAGAGTATTAAACCATCCAAAGAGCAAGCTGTTAAAGTAATGTCCCAGAAAGACAGACCTCCTATGGAAAAAATGCCAGCGTTGTTGATAAGGACATTCAGAGGCCGTGAATTAGCATTCCACGCTTCAGCAAACCTCACAACTGATTCCAATGAGAGAAGATCAAGTTCCATCACCTTGCCGAATTGTAGAATCAAATCAGCGAATCCCAAACAGTAAAATCAAAAGGGCCAAGCAAAAGGGTCCGATTCATGAAATTGGTAAGTTGAATCACAAACCTCAATGTTGAGTGGAAGGCCTTTCCCAGCCCACTCAGTCTGCCACTTCTGGATCAACTCGTTAGCCGTCTTCACGTTTCTAACCGCCATAACAACGTGAGCACCTGCCTCCGCTAGTTGCCTGTGGGCTCAGACCGGAACCAAATTATTCTTCAATACAAACAGCAAGAACTGGGACTGCTCCTCCGTGTCTAGAAACAAAGGAAACGAAAGAGACGACGAAGAAGAAGAACCTGGCGATTTGACGGCCGATGCCGCTGGTGGATCCGGTGACGACGCAAGTGAGGTCGTTAACGGGAGGCAATGGGAGAGGATTCTGCAAGTGACGGGCCAAGATTCTCTGAAACAACATCTCGTATATCAAGTACATCCATCCTCGAATCCACTCTATCCACCCTAGCCCCTCTTTCTTCCTCTCTTTCCCTTTCGAAGGCGATGGATTGGAGGAGGTAGACGGCGACGGCGGAGAGGATGGCGCCATTTTTCTTGTGACTATTCTCTGACCTTATTCCAAGGCAACGCCACAGTTACGGCAGAGCCTCCGATTTTGAGTAAAGAGAGCTCGAGTTTAGTACGGGAGTGTCTGACAAACAAAGGGTTCGATGTGGGCGGGAGAAGGAGACGAGAAATTTTGCTGGCGGTAGCACGTGCGCGCGTGCGTGTCGTGAATTTTGCTTTGCGATCTGCGGGAGTGTTTTGCTTGTCCGTGGAAATACTTTTTTTTTTTTTATACTTTGCAGGAGTTATTTGCAATACGAATCATTTGTTCAAAAGTAAGCATACGAGAAATGTAGACATTTGTGAATGTTGAAATTAAAAATGTATTATTTGTTTAAAATTTTTTAGATGAGTCATTATTAAATGAGTCATTGTATAAAATTAAAGTTTTGCCCTTACATTTAATATATTTCATTATCTTGTTTCCTATTCTACTAAAACCAAGGATGCGGATAGTATAACAACATCCTCTATGTTGTTATAATAACAACAAGTTTCATTAAGGGCAAAACCGTAAACATACAAAGAAATAATAAAATTAAAATGGGACCGGTTATTGTAACAACACTCATTGTATTGTTATTGTAACAACACTAGTCCCCAACCAATAGGAAGCTAGGATTGTGATGACTTTTTATTAGATGAGTTGACCTAGTGTAAAATCAAAGCAGGGGTATAATTGTCATTATGAAAAATATGGTTAAATAAAAAAATAAAAAAATAAAAAAATAAATTTTTTTATTTTCTGCCCAAAAATTTGGTCGTCGGAATTCTGCCACCGGTCGCCGCAAAATGGTTGCCGGTCACCGGAATATGCTTTTTGTCGCCGGAATATGCTATTTTGTGGCCGGTATATGCTTACCGGAGTCGGAATATGCTTACCGGCGTCGGAATATGCTTACCGGCGTCGGAATCTAGTCACCGGGACCGGAATATGGCGTCGGAATCTGCTCACTGACGGTCACCGGAGTTCGGTCAATGGTCTTCGTTGACCGGTCAACGGTCAACGACCACCGGATGTTATGGTCTGCATTGTGAGATTTATGGTTTGGTTTCTCATATTTTTTTATGCCTTTTATGGTTTGTTTTATTGTGTTTGTGGTTTGCATTGAGAAGTTTCTGGTTTGTTTTCAAAAACTTTGTGGTTTGCATTGTGGGGTTTCTGGTTTGTTTTAATATATTTGTGGTTTGTATTAGGACGTTTATGGTTTTTTTTTTGTGGTTTGATTTACTGTGTTTGTGGTTTGCATTAGGAGGTTTCTGGTGTGCTTCGCACATGTTGTGGTTTGCTTTGTGAGGTTTGTGGTTTGTTTTAGGAGATTTGTGGTCTAAATTAGAAGGTTTCTGGTTTGCATTAAGAAGTTTTTTGTGTGCTTTCGAAACTTTTGTGGTTTGCTTTGCGAGGTTTCTGGTTTGTTTTAATATATTTGTGGTCTGCATTAGGAGGTTTTTGGTTTATTTTACTGTGTTTGTGGTTTGCTTTAGGGGGTTTCTGGTGTGCTTTTCAAAATATTTGTCGTTTGTTTTGTGAGATTTCTGATTTGTTTTAGGAGACTTATGGCATGCATTGGGAGGTTTCTGGTATGTTTTTTGTGGTTTGTTTTGTCGTATTTATTGTCTACATTAGAAATATTTGTGTTTTGTTTATCCAGTGAACACCTGGTGATTTTGCTTTTCGTCAGGTGATACCTGGGCTTGATTCTAGTCTCCAATCCATAAGTGAAATATTTAGGGAAATCGACAAGCTCCTTGATTGGCCGTCCCAATTCACTTTTGAAAAAGTAGAAGCTATTCTTCATGAGTGCAACTCTCGATGCAAGTAACTGTGGACATTTCACAACCATCTTGGCAAGTATAACCTTCTCCAAAAGGAACTGAGCAGGTTTAAGTATAACCTGTTGACTAAGACTAACAATCTGTGGCATCTTCTCGATCACTTAAGCAAACCCTTCTGGTTCTACCTTGATCTTCAAGTACAAATATGAAAATAAAATTGACATTCACTGCTGCTGCTATTTCCGCCAAACAGTCGGCCTCCTCGCAGCCCACCCAGTTACGCCGCTACTCTCCCTGCACCACATCGACGTCATCAACCCGATCCTCCCAAAAGCCAGCCGCCTCCAGTCCCTCCAGCGCCTCACGCTCCCGATGACCCTCGACCCGCCGGCGCTCATGCAGCAGTCCATCTGCTACGACCACAAACGGCACCGGACGGTCTCCGTCTCGTGGGGCCACGCCGTCCAGATCGTCAGGGGCACCGTCTCCCCTCGCGAGATGGAGATGCCCGTCCGCACCTTCGTCAACTGGCACAAGAAAGCCGATTACAGTGGCTACGCCTTCAACACCAGGTCCGTTCACCCGACGACGGCGGGGAAGAAGCGGGACAGGAGGGAAGAAGGGGGCGGCGGGGAAGAAGGGTCTCGATGGGTGAAGGAAGATGAGGTCTGCTGCTGCGGGATTAAAACGACTTTGAATTTTAATCAAATTTATTTTATTATTTTCAGTATAAGTTTACCTTTTTACCCTTAATGAATCATGTTGTTATTATAACAACACAAATGGTGTTGTTATTCTATCCCGTCCCATATAAAGTTGTTGCGCCCCCAAAATCCTTCCCCAATCTCTCAAACCCTAAAGTACCGTTTGCCTCTACGCAGCCGCCGAAACCATGCCTCCGAAGTTCGATCCGTCTCAGCCTCTCAGGTGGTGGCGTCTTCGTCCGCATGACCGGCGGTGAGGTCGGAGCGGCTTCCTCCCTCGTTTCCAAGATCGGTCCGACGAGTGACTAATCAATCAGGGAATGAGGCTTTTTGTCGATGGAACTGGAACTCGTTTGCGAGTTCGGACGAGGCCATGAAGGAGGTAAAGGAGGAAGTTCTTCTGATGGAATCGTGAGATGCATTGATAGTGGCGTCGGAAGAGGCTATAGAGTGTGACGATGGTGATTGGATTTACGACGGGATAGGTAGATAGCGCTTTGGAACAGGGGAAGCAGAGGGTGACGATGGTGATTGGCAGCCTGATTTGTTAATTGTCGCAAGGAGGAGAAGGAAAGGTTCTGCCGGTGGAGTCGCGGGAGGCGGTGGTAGTAGCCGCTCTTCCTTCCTTCCGTTCGGAACCGCTGCCGCTCAACAATATTTACAAGGGGAAAAAAGAAATGAAAGAAAGAGACAATATGTATCAATATGTGTATAGATTTGCTCCCATTTCTATTTCTATAAAAAAACGTTCCAGGGGAAATGATTTATTCCCATGCATTTTGGATTGGTCATTTTAGAGTACAACTTCTCGTATGGGTTCCGAGGTTTGGAGAAAACAAACCATAATAATTGAACTATATTGAAGTAGAATGAATGAAAGAAATGTTTAGTCGTGGTTGGTATGAGTTTGGTTGCCGATGCTATAACACACATATTTCTAAAGCACACCAGAAATATCCTAATGCATACCACAAACAATATAAAACAAGCCACAAAACACATACCACAAATCTCCTAATGCAAACCACAAATCTCTTAAAACATACTAGAAATGTCACAAAGCAAACCATAAATATTTCAAAAACACACCAGAAACCTTCTAATGCAAACCACAAACACGGTAAAACAACCCACAAAAAACATACAAAAACCTCCTAATGCAAACCACAAGTCTCGTCAAACATACCAGAAGCACCCCAAAGCAAACCATAGAAGTTTCAAAAGCACACAAGAAACTTCATAATCCAAACCACAAACACCGTAAAGCAAACCAAAAAAAACCAAACAGAAACCTTCTAATGCAGACCACAAATCTATTAAAACATACCCGAAACTCCACAAAGCAAACCAAAAGTATTTCGAAAGCACACCTGAAATTTCTTTGTGCAAACCACAAACACCATAAAACAAGCCACAAAAAAAAAAACATGAGAAAGCAAACAAAAAAAAAAACATATAAGAAACACAAGAAAGCAAACCATAATAAGCACAATAAACACGAGAAAGTACACTATAAATCTATAATGCAGACTACAAAATCCGGCGACTAGTGATCGTTGAATGGACTTCCTCGAACAATGATCATTATATAATAATCCATTACATTTTCATTGTGTCATAACATTGTCGTCAGAGATGAGAAAGTTAGTTTAAAAAAAAGTTTGTATCCCAAGTACACGACGAGGCTCAAAAATAATTTATAAATTTATATATCACATTCATTCCACAAGAGGATCCTATTTATTAATTTCATTTATTCTTTTCTTTTATGGAAATTAATCTTCCAAGTAAAACAAAACTCTTGCTTGTTTATTTTTCCCAAAAAAACTGGCGCTTTTCTAGCATTAGGCGGCCAGTAATTATTAGTAATAATAAAAAAATAATGGTGAATTAATTTGTCAAAAAAATGGTGAATTAAATAAGCCTTGGGTGATGAGGGGAGGTCACGCGCCTGCTCTAAGAAAGTGCAAGCTCAAAACACGCAGGCGTCGTCGGAAGAAAAAAAATGTAGTGACAATTATGCCCCTCCTTTAATTTTTAGCCTATAAAAATTCAGTCAACTCATAAAACAAAAAAGTATGCAGAAGGGTGACTTCCTAGTTCCTATTGGTTGCCCTATGTTGTTGTCATCATAACAACAAATATGGTGTTGTCACCATATCCGGTCCCTAAAACCAACCACGCAATCAAAATTATTTTGAAATCAACAAAACATATATTTTGGGTGTTTGTCATGTATAATACTACTTTCTAATTTTAAATAATAATTCTATCTTAACTTTCTTTATAGTAGGTAACGCCTCATAACTCTCGAATTTGAAGCTAATTACAAATGGTTGTGTTTGTGACGAAAAAGATGCGTCGCTACGTACATGACCCACTTCGTCGCTTGTGTAATTTGGAAGAGAAAAAAATAATTTCGAGAAAAAGCAATTACATAAAAAACTAATAATAAAAAGAGAAGGATAAAAGTGGGTTTACATAAAATAGGTAAGGACATAGTTTGATCATTTGGACTATATAATGAGTCATTTGGGACTTTCGTATGGACTAAATGACTCATGCATTTTTTTTCTTTAGCAAACGAGTCATTTGACATTAAATTACTCAATTGAGTCAAGCAAACGACTCCTTAGAGTGTTGCTATTTTCTGCCCGAATTTATCGACTAAAGTATATTCAAATTACTTAAATGCACTTGTTTTAATTATAGGGTTCAAACTCTTTGGGTAGTATAACCAATACATTTGAACCTCGTTCTCTCCAAAATGAACACAAAAACCACCCAAAAACTAAAATCAAAACATCATACAACACTAAAACCGATAACAATATTTTTTTTATCGGTGAATGTTCGTAGGATTTCGGCGAGGCTGCAGAGCAAGAACTTTCGTCAATCCCAATAGGCATCACAGATCAGTGGTCGGATTGAAGGTAAGATTTTCAGACTTTTTTCTACAAAAATAATATCGGGCGGGTTGGAAATTGGCTCCGACCATGAACTAGGCTGGTCGGAAACGTGTCTAACCCACCCGTCAAGCATGTTTTCAACATGCCTGCTCCACGGAGAGGCTAGTTTTCAACATGCTCTGTCCAACGGTGAGGCCATTTTTAATCCGTCGGCTGGGTCAGATTTTTGACATGTCCCAGTTGAATTTTGTGATATTTTGGACAGTTTTCGAGAAATTTGTCTAAATTATTCTACTACATATGTTCACTAAAAAATGAATTTTGTTGTGCTTATTGGGGGGGGGGGGGGGGGGGGAACCAACCTTGTAGAAGTTAAATACTCTTTTCCCCACCACCATCAAATAACTAAGAGGTAGTTATGAGTGATTCGGTAAGTATTTCATTTGTTTGTTTTTTAGTTTACTTATTCAAGCATAATTGTTCCATGACTAAACCGTATTTGTTTTTATTGTATATTTTTTGTAGGGAGGTTCTGGAAGATGATGAAGGTGACAATAATGATTACACATTATTGTTCACATAAGACGTTTATTATACCCAAAATGCTGATTTTGTAGCGGCAAAGGAGATTTGCCAAAGGAATATGTTTTTCTTGGTCGTCACATCAATTAAGCAAAACGCTGGAGAAAAATATCCGCGGATATATATGGATTGCAACCATGGTAGAAGGAGCAAATTATATACCCCAGATTCAGCGAAGACAAGGCGCAAATCTAAATCGGGCAAGTTAGATGGTTGTTTTCGAGTGGTACTGCGGGCCGCATTGGTAGATGACAAGTGTGAGTGGGGAATTTTAGGTGTTGCAGACAAATATAATCTTGGGAAGCCGAGGGGATTTCACAGTCACGAATTGGAGATTGATCCTGAAAGGAGCAAGCAAAGAAATTCTCTTTCGAAGGTAGATAAAATATACTTGTAAGAGTTGGAGGAAACACATACTCAAGCAAAAGACATGAGGAGTTTTCTCAATATGAAGTATGATGCTCATCACCATATGCAGCGGGTTTTTAACGAGACAACAAAGATTAGACTTCAGAGATTGGGTGTCATGAAATCTATGTTGTGGACATTGATAGAAGCTCAACGTCTTGACTACTTCGTTGAGTCTGAGTATGATGATGAGCATCGTGCTAATTGACTCTTCTTTTGCCATTCGGAGTGGATTCAGATGTTGAGCACATGGTATTTCTTGATTTTGACAGACTCAACATACAAGACCAACAAGTATAAGCAACCACTGGTTCAGTTGATTGGTGTTACTCTAGGGAAGAAGAACTTCAACGTTGGGTTTGCATTGGTCTCATATGAGAAGAAGGAGACATATGCTTGGGTTTTCAAGTAATTGAAGATTGTGCTTGGTGATCGAATACCGGATGCTTTCGTCACCAATAAGGAGGGAGGGTTGGGTGTCTCCTTGCGTGAGATTTTTCCATCTTCAGCACATTTATTATGCATTTGCCACGTGAAGAAGAAACATTGAAGCCAAAATTATGTATATGGGGATGAGTAGAGATACCGCCGAGGCATTTGTAAAAGGTCCATGGGGGGATTCTGATCGTAGGGTAGAAGAGGTTATCCTCCCCCTCCAAGTGTTCTATATTTATATTCGAATTCTTGTGCCCGTTGGCTTCAACTCAACACTTGAAACTGGCTCAACCTGATATAGTAGGTCCAATTTGTCCATTTAGTCGAAGAGTAATTTCGGAAGGGACCCACATAATCCATCCTTCAAACTCACTTCATTATTATGGAGCAAAATCGGGAGAGTATATCCTTATTCCATTCTTCCTCCCATAGTTAATAAAATACGGTACATGAGAGTTAAGTATAAAATACGTACGGATATTTTATTTCGTCTCTAAACTAAAGTTACGTTTAATAGTACGTCAACAATCATAAATATATAAAATTAAGGATCAGACTCGTGTGCTCCTGGAGCATACTATGCCCCATGTACTCATAGTGAGATATCTCTATATATACCATGAATTAAACCGAGTTTGGGGTATGATACTATACCCTAACCTCAAATGGATAAACCCCAGACCCCGATTTTCTAATCTCAAACCCAAAGTTCAAT